GGGACACGTCTTGCTGTCTGAGACTCAGTGTGCTCTGCTCTGGTTGAAGCTTCTCTTCTGAGGGCTCTTTTACCTGTGGTCGAATTACCAAAGGAAGAAACAGTTCAGGGACTCACAGAACAAACTCACAAACAAGAAATGTGCAAAATTGCTAAGGGTTTTTAATGGTTAAAAAAAAATACTAAAATGCTTTTTTTGTTAATGTGTGACATAACAGTAATTAAAAGCATGTTTTCTTTGGCTGATTATTACCTAATGTTTATAGTTAAGTGACTTAAGTTTTTTTGCCATCTAAATATCTGCAACAGAGCAGTCAGCCAGCCTTAATCCTTGTAACCTGGTTTTTGTGTACTCAGCTAATGGAACTGAAGTTACATATTCCCTTAGAAGAAAATGAGAAAGTCGTGTGTCTAGGTTTATTTATTTGCTTATTTCTGCTTTCTTCAGCCATCTGTGGAGGTGAGATTCGTAAAAATGAAGGACAGATCCAGTCTCCAAATTATCCAGATGACTATCGCCCGATGAAAGAATGTGTGTGGAAAATCACGGTGTTGGAGGACTACCACGTGGGGCTGACTTTTCAGGCCTTTGAGGTAAAATCCCTTAGGCCATCTTTGTAAAGCATATTCTCCATAAATGACAGTGGCTTTTAAGAGAATCCTCATTAAACTGGCAAGGAAGCAAAGAGCCAACCTTTTAATCAGTGAAGAAACAAAGGATCACCTATAAAATGGAACATCAAGAGCGAAAGGATTTTTTTTTCTTTTCCTCTTGTTGCAGACATTTTCAAGAAGATTAAAGTGAGTTTACATTATCTGTGCTATTTAATAGAATGTTTGAAGTGCTGACAGTAGTTTCTTTGACAAATGCACAGGCTTGTTCTACAAAACTGCTTGGAGGGTCCATTAAATAATTGAGCTTTTACTTCTAAACTAAGAGGTTAAAAGGCAGACCTGGGTTTTTTGTCAAGAGAATAATCCATTTTTCACCTTTTTTTTTT